AAAAAAGTAAGATGTTACCCGCGTGGAGGCTCAAATTCCTCTGAATCCTTTGAGGAGCACGGCAATACTGTTTCATAGATATTTTCAGCTGGTGGTGAGGGAGGATTTCGCGGTGGCGGTTCCGGCACCGATCCCCGCCGTCTGCTTGAAACTGCTACCACTTTAGTATCAAATGTTACCTGAAAATAAAAACTGGCATGCATACATAGGTGTTAAAACAACACTAAAGTTCGTTCAATAAGTAATAAATTATTCGGATGATAAGGTTGATCAGATCCTCACAAAGAAAAGACATTGGGAAAATTACGACATTTAAGACGAATGAAAAAATGTCGAAAAAAAAATGATTTTGCACTCACATTTAGCAAATGGGTGATGGCGCGAAACGGACAAAGTATTACCTTTGGATGTCGTTTACGACAGCCGGTGTCCGAAGCACAGTATAGTCTGTTGTCTCTAAAAGAGTACCGCTTACCCAACAAATTTTTGCCACAGTTGTCACAACAGAAGCAGCGCTCATCTGCATGCCAATGAACGGTACTCTGAAATTTCACATTTAGCCTTTAAATCGTACAACTGTAGAGTGAAGATTCTCTCTCTGCTGGCAGTCGATGAGTGTCGCCTATCTGTCACTCGTATTACCGAAACAGGAACTGACGAACTGAATAATCTTTAAACAAATGGTCTGCGTAGTAACGGAGACAGTAAGGAAAGCAAGGAAACCACAGCTAAACTGCCCGGACGTGAATCTTGAGCTCTACACCTTATTTCGAGCAAAATATAATTGACTTAACAAAAAAGCGAGCACTTGCTGATTATTATCAGTGAAAAAGACGCAAAAATCACCCGACTGAATTTGGAAAAGAAGTTAGTTCCCTTCGAAGTGACGACGTTTTACATGAAAAAAGCAAATTACTCCATCAAGAGGTATCAAATGCAGGTGCTGCATCGCCGGAATACAGACAGTGATAAATTATGGAATTAAGAAAAACGCTATTTCGGCCACTTTCCTGAGCACTGGACAAGCGCTTTATGTATGGCCCTAATTCACTGTGTAAGCCTATCCCAGTTTTTTCATTTTATCATCATTCTTTTCGAATTAATTCCCCTGGTTCATACAAGATCTCAACAATATGCGCTATAACGG